TTCCTCCTGAACTCACAAACAACAAGAAGGGTGATGCAGACAGCAGCAGCAGTATCAGCAGTTCTGTGTGGGTGCGTGTATCACTACTGATTGTGGTTACACTGGCCTGTATTCTTGTGTGCTGATTGTAGTGGTGGTGGTGATGGTGTGACTGAGGTCATCCTTTGTTTTTTTTTTCTTTTTGCATACATCCCTACAATCTAACTAATCTTGCACCTGTTGGGATTTTCTTCTTTTTTTGTTTCTTAATGTTAATGATATTGTGTGTGTTTTTGCTTTCACTGTGTTTATCCTATAATTCTTATTATTGCTACTCCATTGTGTGTGTGTGTTCTTGGAGACTCTCTCTCTGTGTGTGTGCCTGGGCTTGCACTGTGATAATGATGATGAACTGCTTTTTGCAATGGGAAAAAGGAAATAATAATAACAGATGAATTTATATTTATAATTGCGAATATACTTACACATATAAACTTATACCCATAGTTGGTGTATATTTCTGTGTTTACTGTGTAGATTGGGCTAATTGCTAATATCTGTTTTGTTTGCTTGATGATTTTACTGGGTGGTTCAGCCTTGTGTGAGATATTTGTGAGTGTGGGCATTTTTTGTTTTTGTTTTTACTGTTACTGAGGTTATTGTGCTGTATTGCATTCTTTAACTGGGAGGTTTTACTTTCACGATGTGAGTTTCCATAGTGGTAATCGATTTGTGTTTCCTAACATGTTTGATACTTTATTTATTTTCTTTCTTTATTTTTTGATTCTCTTTCTTTCTAGATCAGTGTTTTTACGTGAAACAAATCCCTTGTCTCTTTCTCATGATGATGATGCGCCGTGTGTTGTGTGTGTTGGCCGTTGTGCTGTGCTGTTCCTGCGGGTATACCATGACGGCTGCTGCTCAGAACTCGCTGCCGGAGGGAAGAGGGGCGCAAGGTGGGGCTGTTAATAATAATAGGGGTATATATCATCCTGGTGTGTCGGATCTTGACGTTATTTATGACGTTTTAAAGTTGAACAAAACTGAAGTTCAACTCCAACAAAAAGAACTGTCTGAGAAACGTCGTGCAGCTGCAAAGGGACCAAAACTTGATGTGACTTTACAGATGAAAGCAGATGGACTTGGTGCCGGTGGTGTTGATTCGGAGTGCCGTACTGGTACTACTGATACTCACGGTAAATGTAGTGGTACTGAAGTACCGCGGACGGGGGAAAACGAAAAGAAAGGTTGGGATGTATCGAATGAAGATATTACTGAAAGGGATAATACAAAAAAGAGGTATTATCATCCCGGTGTGTCGGATCTAGATGCCATTTATCACGTTTTAAATCTGACAAAAGATGACATAAAACGCGAAAGAGATGCCGATGTCGCGAGACAGAGTGGTAGTGTCAGACAGGTTACCGTTGGCGCTGGTCATGTTACTGGCACTGGATCAAAACCCGGTGGGACTTTACAGACGAAGGAAGAGGATGTTCATCATCATGGCACGTCTCTTGGAGAGGGACAGCTGGAAACACAAAATAGACATGAAAGACAGGAGTTAGGGGATCCTGAAAGTGCACTTCAACAGACGAAGGACACACGGGAGAATGAAAACCTGGTTCAAGAAGACCGTGAGGTGGCCCGCCCATCAGTACCTGCTGTAGGTGAGCCAGAGTCAATTCCTGTTGTAACTACATCTAAAGATCCTTCACCTACAGAAGGCGCAGAGTCACACAGTGCACCAGAAGGTACACCAGAATCAGAAAGAACTGAAAATCCACCAACAGGGGAACACTCAACTGAAGAGGTTGATACCAATCAAACAAACCCACAATCACAGTCTGAAAGTACCCCAACAACTTCACAAGAAACAAATACCACTACTCCACCGAGCACCGAGAACACTACCACAGAAGCACCAACTGAAACACCATCTCCTGTACCCAATCCAGAGATCAACACTTTTGCCTCCACTGTGCAGAAGAATAAGGGTAATGTTGACAGCAGTCTCAGCCCTGTGTGGATGCGCACTGCAGCACCGCTGCTGATTGTGGCTGTGTTGTTCTCCGCTACTGTGTACTAAACGGTGGGACTCATCTGAGGTCGAATAATAATAATGGTTATACTAACATTATCACAATTGCGTACATCCCCCATGGGTGAATGAATTAATAATCTGTTTATCAGCTTTATCTTTTAATTGGAATATCTTTTTTTTTGCTTTTGTGTGCGTGTGTTCTTTTTCTAATAATTGCATCACTTGCTTTTTCCCGTTGTGTGTTTGCAGAAAACTGGGCTGTTCTGCTCACTGACGGTATACATCTCTTGCTAGTGTACACAGATGTGTGTGCAGTAATTTAATATACATAAACTAGAGCCATGGGGTATTGTGTGTGTGTTTGGCTCTCTCTCTTATTTGGGTATTGTGGGATGTTCTCTTTTCTAATAGGGGGTACATATTATCATGCAAGTGGGCTATTCCTTTTCCTTGTTGCTTTACTGTACAGTTGCTGCTTCTCTCTCTTTTCCACTGTGACTATTTGTTGTATTGCTGTATGTTTGTGTGTTTCTATCTCAATTCTTTCTCTTCCTTTTTCTTTCTTGTATTACTCTATTGAAATAATCAGCAACAATGACAAAGGCTGTAATGGTAAGGTGCAACCTGCTCTGTTTATTAACTCTTTTACTCTGTTGGGGTTGTGGGTTAGTATGGGCTCAACCAAGCAAAAGTACTCTTGAGGGCATCCCTAGAGACGCCGTTTGTTTTCCTCCTTCGGAGCCTATTGTTCGTGATGATGGAACTCCTGGCTGTGCTGTCAACAAAACACGTAAGACCCAAGAAACTCACGAGACCCATGCCGTGGTGAGACAAGAAAAAGGACCACAGATGGAAGAAAACAAACCGGTAGATGCTGGACCTGAAACCGAGCGGGACTCACATTCGGATACACGTGAACCCACAAATGGAGGGAACACAGACTCAACAGGATCAGCCGCTACTGAGAGACAAGAGACATCTGCTAATACACTTCAGAGTTTACCTGAGACTTCTTCCAACACTTCACCCTCACAGAATGCAGGAGAGTCTGGAGCTGCAGAGACTGGACCAACAAGTACCCCAAATGAGGGAGGAAATACAGATACCACCACCACCAACACCACAACAACAACAACAACACTTCCTCCTGAACTCACAAACAACAAGAAGGGTGATGCAGACAGCAGCAGCAGTATCAGCAGTTCTGTGTGGGTGCGTGTACCACTACTGATTGTGGTTACACTGTCCTGTATTCTTGTGTGCTGATTGTAATGGTGTGGTGGTGTTGTGTGACTCAGGTCATCCTTTGTTTTCTTTTTTTCTTTTTTTGCATACATCCCCACAGTCTAACTAATCTTTCACCTGTTGGGTTTTTCTTTCTCTTTTTTTTTTTGTTTCTTAATGTTAATGTGTTTTGTGTTCTTTTGCTCTCTGTGTTTATCCTATAATTATTATTATTGCTACTCCATTGTGTGTGTGTGTGTGTTCTTGGAGACTCTCTGTGTGTGTGCACCTGGGCCTGCACTGTAATAATGATGATGAACTGCTTTTTGCATTGAGAGGGAAAAATAATAATAACAGATGAATTTATATTTATAATTGCGTATATATACACATATACAGATTTACACCCATAGTTGGTGTGTGTTTCTGTGTTTACTGGGTAAATTGGGCTAATGGTTAATATCTTTTTCTTTGCTTGATGAGTTTGCTGGGTCATTGTGTTTTTGGAATTGCACTGTTTTGGTATTCTGTTTTATAAGAGCAAAGAAAAAAATAGTAGTTATTACAATTTGTATTTGTAATTACTTGAACACACCAGCATACTCAGTGGTCTGTGAGTTATTTTGTGCGTTTGGTCCTGCTCTTAATTTGTGTTTTTTTTTTCGTTTTCTTTGCTTGGGCACTGTGTGCTTTTTCCTGCATTGTTGTGTATTGGAGTGTTTTATGGGGAGAAAAAATAATAAGGAATACATAAGTATATATATTTGTAATTCTGCTTGGTTCGACCAGAAGAGACGTTTTGATTTATTTCTGTGCTTTACTCTTCTGATGGTCGTTTTGTTTAATTTCTTTTTTTCCTTTTGAGGGTTAATTGGGATTATCTTTTTGTTATTGGGTATTGTATGCGTTGTTCCTTTAATTTGGGCACTATATGAGTTATAGTTGCAGCTTTCTGTAATGTGTGTGCTTCTGCTGTAATTGTTGAGTGTTCTTTGATTTGTTGTGTGTTCTTATTTTCTTGTGTACATTGATTTCCTTTCTTTCTGTTTTCCTATCTGGTTTTTCTATCTGGAAGCGATTGAAGTAAGACTACTGCAAGAAGTTTTGTAATGATAATGATGATGCGCTACGTGCTGTGTATCCTCGCTCTCCTGCTCTCATGTGCGTGTGTGTACGTCCTCGCTGAAGAAGTGCCTGCCGCCGATCTTTCCGACCAAGTCCCTGATACGGAGAGTGAGACAAAGATTAGTTGTCCTGAAGGTACTCCTGATGCCCAACTTCCTGAAAAGAAATGTCCTCAAAAGCAAGAAGCTCCTCCTGCTCATGTACCTGAGGTACCAAAAGAAGTTGTTCCTGAGAAAAAGGTACCGCCTGCTCCTCCTAAAAAACCCGAAGTTCCTCCTGAAAAAGTACCAGAGGTTCCTAAAGAGGTGGTTCCTGAGAAGAAAGTACCAGCTCCTTCTCAAAACCACGAAGGTCCTCCTGCTAAAGTACCGGAAGTTCAAAGTCATCATGGAGATAATGGTATTCCTGGTCCTCGTGACGGAATTGCTGAAACGGGTGACGCTGCTCTTCGTGGTCAAGCTGCAGTTTCTGCTACTGCGCCTACAGTTAACAGCCAACCAGAAAACAACGACAACAACACTTCAGCAGGTGGAAGGGCAGCTTCACAAGGAAGTGGAGCACCACAACCTTCTTCCTCTTCTCCTAGCAGTTCAGCCACAGCAAGTGACGGAGCTGCGGATACTGAAACTACGCGGACAGAGAGCGGAACTCCATCTGCAGGGAGTGAATCAACAAGTACCCAAGAAGAGGTTGCCGGAAATGCAGATACAACCACCACCACCACAACAACAACAACAACAACACTTCCTCCTGAACTCACAAACAACAAGAAGGGTGATGCAGACAGCAGCAGCAGTATCAGCAGTTCTGTGTGGGTGCGTGTGTCACTACTGATTGTGGTTACACTGGCCTGTATTCTTGTGTGCTGATTGTAATGGTGGTATGGTGGTGTGACTCAGGTCATCCTTTGTTTTCTTTACTCTTTTTGCATGCATCCCTACAGTCTACCTAGTCTTCCATCTGTTGGGATTCTCTTCTTTTTTGTTTCTTAATGTTATTGTTTTGTGTGTGTTTTTGCTCTCTGTGTTTATCCTATAATAATTATTATTGCTACTCCATTGTGTGTGTGTGTGTGTGTTTGGCTCTCTCTGTGTATGTGCACCTGGGCTTGAACTGTGATAATGACAATGAACTGCGTTTTGCAGTGGGAAAAGGAAATAATAATAACAGATGAATTTATATTTATAATTGCCTATATACACACATATAGACTTACATCCATAGTTGGTGTATATTTCTGTGTTTATTGGATAAATTGGGCTAATGATTAATCTCTGTTTATTTGCTTGTTTGTTTTGCTGGGTGGTTCAGCCTTTTTTGAGATATTTGTGAGTGTGGGTTTTTTTTTATTTTTACTCTTACAGAGGTTATTGAGTTGTATTGCATTCTTTAACTGGTGGGTTTTACTTTCACGATGTGAGTTTCTTTTGTGGTAATCGATTTGTGTGTCCTAACATGTTGGATACTTCAGTTATTTTCTTTTTTTTTACTTTTTGATTGTTTTTCTCTCTAGATCAGTGTTTGTACGCAATCCAAACTATTTTCTCTCTCATGATGATGATGATGCGCCGTGTGATGTGTGTGTTGGCCGTTGTGCTGTGCTGCACCTGCGGGTATACCATGACGGCTGCTGCTGCTGTTGATAATGACAGTCCCAGTGGCCGTGGTGTATCCCGTGGGGCTGTGGAGGTGTCGTGCGGGGCCGGCGGTGCGCTGCGTGTACGCCCCGCTGCTGCGAGCGAGTGGCTTACATGCGGAGCGGGCAGCCGTGTGTCTGCATGTGGGAAGTACGCAGACCTCTGCAGCCAGCGTACCGCAAGAACAACAACAACCATTGCTACTACTGCTACTGGACAACTGAAGGCAGTGATGGCGATTGAAAGTGTTTCTGATGGTGTTACAGGAAGTATCTTCACAGAACTCTATCGTGGTATGTATGACAAACCTGGAACTACATACTTAGATTCACTTTAGGGTGAACAAGGTAAGCTTCAAGTACCCGGTGTTGGCGAAAAAGGAGATAAACGTGAGGGGGAGATGGAGCGTTCCACCCATGAGAGCCAAGAACCTGAACCAACTGGTGTTCGTGGTGAGGACTCTTCTCACCTTTCTACCAGTGGTTCACGTGAAGATGAAGCAACTACATTACTGAAGGTAGAACCAAAAGGACAACCAAATGGATCTTCAGGAATACTTTCAGAAAACAGAGATCTATCCGGCTCTACAAAAGGTGAAAGCAGAGTTCAGCCTTTAACACGAACAGATCAACAACCTAACAACGA